TCAAATTTGTCTTTCATTGCTTGCTTATATGAACTATATGAGTCGAGTCTGATCACATGAATGTTGAAATGAGTGAACCCATGTGTGAAATAGTTATTCATAGGATTATTTTAATAAATGTAGGTGTTTGACGAGTCGAGCTCGCCTTCCAATCAATTGTTGTGCTTTATCTCCTGCTGTTACCAGGGGTTTTTATTTAAAATTTGCTATGCTGTAAATGTTATAAACGTATAATTTTTGGTATGATCAATGAATGCATGTGAATCATGTAGCCTTCGATGTGAGCTGTACCGGCCGTCGAACGGTTATCCCCGTAGCTATAGAACGTACCCGATGGGTAGTCTCCTTTATTTATGTATGGCTGTAAGACCGGGGCATGGGCCACCGGCTGGTGATCCCCATTTGTAAGACCAATTCGTAGGTCTTGGCCGGCGGGGTGGATTACTCCTACTGGCTGTGCATCGTTGTAAGACCAAGGCGTAGGTTTTGGCATTCGAATCGAGTATCAGCAGTAGTCTATGCGTAGGTGTGCACATGAGGGTTGACTCTGGGATAGGAGATAAGATAATTAATTGATTTGTATACATGCTGCGACCATACCTGACTTATTTATGATTACTGCTTTTTATATTGATTAATGCTTACTGCATAGTGGTGAGCACTACGTTTTCCATATGTGCTCACTCCCACCTGAAATTAACGTTTCAGGTTAAGCGAGGCAGGTACGACGGCGGAGCAGTGGTGGTCGGTCTATAAGACCGGTTTTATTATTTGTTATGCTTCCGCGTTATGCTCTGATGTTATGATTTATGAACTTGGAAAATTATTGCATTTATGATTTTCGGATTCTATGATTGAAATAATGTTAACGAGATGCTCCTTATATTCTACGATTATTGTTGGAACCCGGTTTGGGTGAATGTCGAACTTTTGGAAACCCGTTCTGGGAGTTGAAATTATATTGATGATTGATGTTGAAAATGAGTAACGCCATAAATATGTTTGAAATAAATTTTGAAAAATTTAATCTGATTTTTCTGAAAGTCCGGAATTTCTTTAAAATCAAAGTGGGGCGTTACACATTTCGTTTTTCGAACCGAAACCCGGCTTCGATAAATATTTTGAGCTCTTAAATAATTGATATTATTGAAATTTTGGTGCCAGTATGTGTGAGAATTTGTTGTCGAACCGTTGCCAGGGAGTCCCTACGCTTGCAGTCTGTGTCTCTATTTTTTTTCTTTTTGCCTGCTGCTCGCTACCTTAAGATCAGGCTAGTCCTTTGCTTTTCATTTTTTTTTTATTATTATTATGAACCAGGCGTGGTGTAGTGGTCTTCTATGTGCAAATTTGTGCTTGAGGTCTTGAGTTCGAGACCAGTC